AATTATGAGCGAGGAAGAACACCCATATTTCTGTGCCCTAACATAACAGATGTTTATCATTTTTGTATATTTTTAGTTATTTTTGAGTCTTATTTTAAGGGTATAATTTTTCATTGTTACGATTGCTATGTGTGTATTACACTGTGTTGTATTTCATGTATTGGAAGCTTATAGAATAGTTACATGTTTATATTTTATATGTATTTACTAAGGCATCAGGTTTAGTCATTCCTTGATTATTGGAATTTAGGGTCATTCCTTTTTTCACTATCAATGCTTTGTGTAAATAATTTTTTGAAATGTTCTTATAAAATGCACTAATTAAAGGGGATTACTGAGAAGAATTACATGTTCAGTTTTCTGGCTTTTGCTGCATTTTGAGAGATTTAAGTCTTGTTTCAAGGAAGGAACTTGGGTTTTTGGGGAAAATAGGTGAGATGAGTCAGCTGTGGGAAATGGTCTGTACAAAGGCACTGGGGAAAAATAAGTAATTAAAAAATTTAAGAATAGCTTCAAGAAGAGGAGAAAACCTTTTTGCCTGGAACCTATAGATCTGGGTGCCAGCCCTGGTCTGCCCCTCATTGGCTGCGGGACCCTAATCCATTGCCTGGCCTCAGTATACCTGAGTCTTATCTGTAAAATGGGCTCAAGAAGTATTTTCACAGAAGGATGTGAAAAGATTTGTACCCTCCTGCGCTGGTGGCAGGAGTGTACAATGGGGCAGCCACTTTGGAAAACAGTCTAGCAGTTCCTCAAAAGGTTAAACACAGAACTACCGTAAGACTCCTCTGGATATGCCCCAAGGGAAATGAAAACACATGTCCACAGAAATACTTGTGCTCAAATATTCAGAGCAGCATTATTCACAGTAGCCAAAAGATGGAAACAGTCCAAATGTCCATCAACAGATGAACCGATAAACACATGACAGTCTATGCATACAGTGGAATATTATTCACCCATGATAAAGAATGATGTTCTGACACAGGCTACAGTGAGGGTGGACCTTGACAACATTACACGAAGAGAAAGAAACCCGATGCAAAAAGAGCACACACATTATTCCAGTCCTCTCAAGGTCCAGAATGTTAGGTTAGTGGCTGCTTAGGGCTCAGAGGACAGAGGGCAGGGGGTAGAGGAATGAGCACTCATGGGTGCAAAGTTTATTCTTAAGGTAATGAAAATGTTTTACAATTGATTCTGAAGAAGTTTGCACGTATCTGTGAATATACTAAAAACCATTATATTGGACACTTTCAGTGGGGTGTGAGCTATATCTCAATATAAAGCTTTTTTATTGTTGTTTAAAAATAAATGTGCTTTATTGTAAAGAACACTTCATTAGAATGCTGAAAATCTGAAATTTTCACTAGACAGATGAATTCAGAGTTGGGAATGAGTGTCGGAAACTTTTTTTCCTAGATGAGGCAGATGATGATGATGATCCAGAATATAATTTCCTGGAAGACCCTGATGAACCTGACACGGAGGATTTCCGCACTGACCGAGCAGTGAGAATCACCAGTGAGTCTGTGTTGACCATGAGTCCTGCTCTTGGCAGCTCCACATCCAACTTTGCTTGCTTTATAGATTTTTGAGGGTGAAGTTGGCAGCCCACTCAGGTTTAGATATTTAATCTTTTTCTACCCATTTATTTCTATAATTCTTTAAATTGGCATATGTATTCAGGAAGCCTATAAGTCATTGACTTCTACATCCCCCAGTCATGTGTTGGTCCAGGATTTGGCAGAGACTGTACTTAGGATCCCAAAATGAGTAAGATGTGGCTCTGCTGTGTAGGATGTCAGCTTGGTTAGGGGGACACAAACAAGTTATAATACAGACTGATAGGGGCCATAGTGACTAGGTTGTTAAAGAGATAAGGTAGTGGCCTAAAAGGTGGTATAGCCTAGTGTATAGTATGGAGCAGGGTGGAAGGGCTTAGAGAAGGAGTCAAAGATAAAGATGCTCCATCTTAGTTTTGAAAGAAGGAATAAGAAATTTTTGGTGAATGGGGGCAGAGAGGGATATTGCAAATAGACGGAAGAACATCTGCAAACCACAGAGTTGTGAAACAATCGTCAGTGTGTTTGGAAAACAGTAAGTAACTTGGTATAGTTGTGTGAATGAATGGTGGTAGAAGAGATAAGTGGTGTTCAGATCATGAGAACTTTGAATTTGAGTTTTGATCTGCCAAAGAGCCAAAGAGTTTTAGGCAGGAAATCAATAAGAACTGATTTGGATTTTAGGAATATCACTTTGGTTCAATATCAGTGTACTGTATTGATTTGGTGGGTAAAGAGAACAAGATTGGAGGCATGGCAAACAAATAACTTGGCTTGAGTCATATGTTTAAAAAGTTACTTCATGGCTAGTTTGCCAATGACAGAAAACATATTTCAGGAACTATTGATTTTTATTGAGTGTATGCATGACCATGTACTAGAGTGGTATGCACAATATGGTAAAGGATGTTGACTGTACCCCAGGTGATGAGAAAGCTTTATAAGCATCCAAAAGTATTTACCTTATACCTAAATAATGCAATTATTTGTGTAAAGAGAATTATGTAAACATGATCCTTATGACTTGTGTTCTATTTTGTTGCTTTATTTCATCTTTGATCCTTAAGAGAGTGCTATTTCCTTTATGAAGATCTTCCATTTATTTTGGTTATGTTGTGACATTAAGGTTAGAGGAACCATTGAAAGGAAAGCACCGGGAATCAAAAGAGAAAGTATAGAATGAAAAGACTTGAGGATTTAGGCTTTAAGATTGTGAAGGAAGGTCTAGAAATGTATGAGAAAAATCAACAAAGTCTAGTGTTAGAAACCAAAGGAAGGAGTGACTGGTTCACCGTGTCATATACTGGTAATGAAATATTTTCTGCTTGAAGCAGAAAAGTAGGAGATTTCACTTCAGTTTAGCTCTTGACCTGGAATACACTTGCCTTCCCTTTTTGTTTGTCTGCTACTTTATTCAGTTTACATGTAATTTCTCAGGAACTGTCCTCATCAATTAGTATTGATCTTACTTTGTACTCCATCTCACCTTGTATGTCCTTTTTGATACCCATCTCTTTCATAATTGCTAATTGTCTGTTTTCTCCCCTAGAGCTGTGAACTTCTCATGGATTTTGTATCATTTATTGCTGTAAAGCTGGTGTTTTGCACAGTGCTGGCGATATTGGCTAATAAAAGTAAACTTTTCTGGGATGCCTGAGTGAAGGGCTGTCCTGTCCAGCATAGAGTTCTGTGATCATACATACAAATTGGGACAGAATTTTAATTTTGTTCCTACCCCTTGTTCTCTTACGTCTGATGTTATCATATTTAATTATAACCTCTTTAAAAGTATTTATCCTTACATGGATGTCAAATTTTAAAAATAAAAAAGCCTAGAGTCATAGTTCGAAAATTCATGTGGTCTTATATTTTCCTCCCACTTGAGAGTTTGTTTGCAATTTCTCTGATGTGGCCTTTTAATCTATGTCTGTATACCTCCAGTGATGGGAAGGTGATCAGTTCTGCAGATAGCATGTCAAGATCTTAAATACCTCCTCAGTTAACATTTCCCTATTGCACCTAAGTCTACCTTTTATAGTCTCCTGTTTTGTCTTTTATTGCTAAAAAATGTAATGTACTCCGAAGTGTGCATAGTAAAAGATGTTTCTTTTCCTAAGTGTTTTCTTTCCTATGCCAAACATAACCAAGTTTCTTCAGTTTCCTGACCTCTTGCCACCCAAGTTACCCTCCTCTGGATGCTGGCCTTTATTTTTTTATAAATCTGTCCCCTATTACATTTTATTATGAAACTTTTTAAACATGTAGAAAAGTAAAGAATTGTACAACTGAATATCCATATGCCTACCACCTAGTTTCTGTAATTAACTTTTAATATGTTTACAGCTGTCCGTCTCTATGAATTCATGTTATTGTTTTCATTTTTGATGTATTGCAAAGAGAGTTGTAGATTATCAGCACACTTCACTCCCGTACATTTCAGCATGCATATCATGAAGTAGAGCTCAGTATTTGTTTACAATTTCTCCTTTTATGTAAACTTACACACAGTGTAGTTCACAAATCTTTAGTGTGCCAGTGAGTTTTGACCTGCTTCTACTTGGGTAAACCGGGCTCCATAATGATATAAAATGTCAACCCAGAGAGTTTTCTCACGTCAATCCCTAGGCAACCCCCCTGAGGCAACCACTCTTGTTTTTTTTCATCACATGTTAGATTTGCCTATTTTAGAACTTCATATAAATGGAATCATATAATATGATTTTCTGTGTAAGGCTTCTTTCACTCAGCATAATATTTTTCAGATTTATCCATATTGCCTGTATTATTAATTTGTTGCCTTTTATTGCTGAGTAGGATTCCATGGTGTAAATGTACCAATTTTTTATCTTTTTAATTTGTCCCCAGGTATTGATGGACACCAGGGCTCTTTTTAATTTTTTGCTATCTTGAATAAAGCTGCTCTGAACTTTCTTGTGCAAGCCTTTGTGGGCAGCTGTCTAGGTGAGGAATCATTGGTCACAGGGTAGATTTGTGTATACTTTCATAAGAAATTTTCAGACCCTTTTCCAAATTGGCTTTCCATTTTACCTCCTCATTAGAGTTCCAGTTGCTCCATATCTTCACCAACATACTGATTTTAGCTTTTTAGTGCCCTCTTAAGATGGGCTTTTACAGAAATGATCACAGTTCTCTTGACATGGTCTGAGACTCTGCTCTTTGGTTCAATGATAGACTTGCTGCCTTGGATATGAGCACTGTTTTAGAGCAGCTCTGTCATATTGAACTTGAGACCAACCAAAGCAATCAGATCTTTTTCAGATTGTTTTTGAGCCACGTTACCTTTTTGTGCACTTAAACTGGTTTTTAAATATCCCAGATGTAAGACTTTAAACTTATCCATTTTGTTCTATCTTGTTAATTTGGGAAAAAACAGAAGTTTGAATCTGTCATCAGTTGATCTGGCACTCTCTTCCAGCTTTATATAGTTTACAGATTTGGTAGTGTTTCCTGGGTCTTCTTGGTCATTGATGGAGTTGCTGAATAGTTGAGGTCCAAAGACAGGGTCTCATGACACACAGCTAGAGATTCTTCCCCTGATTCCATTCAGTAGGATAGGCCAACAAACTGATTTTTTTGTTATTGTTAAATCATCTAGCCTACATTTTATTTATATCTTCCTGCTAGAATTTAAGCTTCATGAGAATAAGACTATTTATGTCCGTCGGATATCCCAAGCATTTACAACAAGGATTGAGGCATAGTTGGTGTTCAGTAAATGTTTTTGAATGAATGAATGAATGATAGAATGCTGAACACAACACATATTTCTTCTTGGAATTCCCCCTTACTGCAAAAAGAAACTAACTTGTGCCAACAACATACTGTCTGGCTTTTTTTCAGAAAAGGAAGTGAATGAGCTGATGGAAGAGCTGTTTGAAACTGTGAGTCATGATCGTTGTGTGAGAACTTGGGATGGTGAAAGTGGATCCTCTAGCAAGCTCTGTGTTTGGTCCCAGGGCCCCTCCCTACAGAAGGGTTGTCTGACCAAGGCAATTACCTTTCAGACCACCCAGGAGAGAATGTAGTGGCAGGAGAAGTTAACTAATAATCTTTGATTATCCAAATGTAGGTTATGTGTAGTAAAATTTCCATTGCAGACTTTTGGGTAACTGCCCCAACTATCATTTGGTGCATCCTTAAAGGTTGCCAACTACTTTTAGATTATTCTGAGCACAGTTACCACTGTCATAAATTTGTTTCATGAAAGATACTTCTAATCATTTTGAGTTAGTTATTCATGCTCTATCCTTACTGTTACAAGTAGGCTGATAGAGAGACCTTTTTCCTGGCATAGTAGCCATCCCATGTGCTGGATTCTGGGAGTCCTAAAGTGAGAAAGGTTCTGGCATGAGCTTTTTCTAGGTGCCAGCATTATTAAAGTCCTGTAAATTGTAGTCTTCACATTCCCTTCTCACTTCTGGAGTGACTTTCACAGACCCTTTGCTCAGGAAAACTCTCCTTTTCTTTTGCCCTCAGTTCCAAGATGAAATGGGATTCTCCAACACAGAAGATGATGGCCCAAAGGAGGAGGAGCGTGTGGCTGAGCCTCGGCCTAATTTTAACACCCCTCAAGCCCTGCGGTAGGCTAGCCAAAGACCTTAACACTTAGAATGGAAGGAAAGTGTATGCCTGAAAAAGTTTTCAGAAATTTCAGTTAACAATTTCCTATCCCTACGTATGTGCCGTTACTATCTAAGGATGCAGAGCCCTGTGTAGTTGTTAGGTGTCGAGTGAGCAAGTCTCCTTGTTACGGGGCAGTGCAGCTGTAGACAGAGCTGTATCTGTTTGGGAAGGGAGAAAAAACAGTAGCTGGCATCCATGGCAGCTTCTCCGGGTGAGTGGTGCTGGAGAGGTGAGAGGATTCTATGTGACCAGCCACAGAAACTACTCTAAATTGTAACATACAGTATGAACCTGTTGGTCTCCTCATTTGCCATTAACATCTGGTAAAGGTTAATGAGAACTTGTGAGTTACCTAGGCATTCATTGAGCGAGCCATGCTGCAGCTACCGTGGTGCCCTGGGATCTGAAATAGTGTGCTGCCTTCATCACATAAACTTGGCACTTCTGTTTCCCCACCCAAAAAGGAGAGGCTTTAATTTTTCCCCCTATTTCTGCGATGGGTTTGCATAATTCATCTGTGCTTAAATTTGTCGTTTTCCATTCTGAGTAGCAGCATACAGTCTTTTAATGACTGGTTAGAGGTCAGGTGTGGTTTGCGCCAGGGGTGGAACAAAGCTAAGAGACCCATGGCCTTGAATGAGCCCTGTATTGTAATTTAAAAACATTACCTGTCTAGACAACTTAGTTTCCATCTGACAGCTAGACTTTCAGGGAATTCTCAATTCAGTAAAAAAGGTAAAGTATATAGTAACCACCAATGTGTAAAGGCCAGAAATATCAGTCATACTCCATTATAATAAATACCACAATATAACTACCAACAAAAAAAAGTCAAGATTTCCTTGTTTTTTCAGCTTTATTGAGGTATCTTTGACAAAGTTGTAAGATGTTAAAATGTGATATTTGATTATTTGCTATAAATATACATGGTGAAAGGATTCCCCCATCAAGGTAATTAATACTTCCACTGCCTCGCATTTTTACTTTTCTTTGAGAATGTTTTGAGATTTCTGAGAGGCTGTATTTGGCCCATTTGTTTCAAGCCATAGTTCATAGAACAAAATTCTGGTGTAGCAGAATGAAGTCATTCCTCTTGGGAACATTTATAATGGGATTTGATCTATAGACACATTTCAGTTTCACTAATTAACTGTGAATAAATCTTTTACTTTAGGGAATTACATAACTCCTTTAAAACCCTTGTTAAAGTTCTTTTACCTTCTGGAGTTCAGTGGCTCTTTGGGCTGCTGCTGCCTCCCTTTCAGCTGGAAGTGCAAACCAGGTTTAATTTTTGACTAAATAAATCTCATGGGGATAGTGAGCCGTCTGTGCTCCTCTTACCAACTCTGTAAGTAATATCTGTTAAAATCAGGCATAGGCTATTTGCTTTGTTTTATTGACGTATAGTTGAGACACACTGTTGTGTAGGAATGGGCTTTTTGCATTATGTACTTTTTTCGTGCTTCTGCTCTACTCATCTGCTGGTAGTGCAGGTCATCGAGAGTCTTAAGTTCTCAGTGAAGATTATACAGAGGACAGTCCCATGTCTTCAGGTTTTTATCCTGTGCCTGCCCACATTCATAGTAAATACTATAATAGGAAAGAGTATCCCCAGAGGCTATAGAAAAAAAGTTTACCATTTAACTGTTGTTATGGTGTAGAGGATTTCTTGAAATATGGTAACCTACTCTTTGCAGCTACTTAAGCAGGGCTTATCCTAATGGCCCAGGGTCCCAGCTCAGGCGTCATCACTGTAGTGTCTTGTTCTTCCTCTACCTCAGGAACAGTGTGGTAGGTATTCAGAGTCTTGCTTCAGCCCTGGACACAGGTTAGAAAACTTGAGGGAGTCAAATGGCTAAAAGAAAGTACTTTCATGGAGCGTGGTAGGGTTGGTGCTTGAACCAGCTTCTCAGTATTCATCTAAACTGCCGCGCAGCTTAGTATTTCCCTTTCTTGCTTCAGGCTTGAAGTCTTCTGGTTTTTTAAGGAAGGCAGGGCAACTGAAAGGATGGGAGTGGGAGAATGGGACAAGCTAGACCTGGGATGGGAATAATGGGTAAATTAGAGAACAAATGCTGTACATTGAGAAGACTATCATTTAAGAAGAATCCCAGATCAATATGGATTTGGGATTCAGTGTGATGCAAGAATGATGAGTTTCATTAGCCCCAGATGTTTCTCTGTTCCCAGATTTTTGTTAAATTTCTCTTTCATTTATATGTTACTTAGAGGTCTGATTGAAGGAGAATGGGAGGGGCGCAATTCAGAACCACCTTATTTGAATCTGTACTAGCAACTTTGGAAAAGATTTGGATAGGCTGGGAGTTTACCTGTTGACTAAAATGGGATTTGGGGATTAGCACTAGATGCAAAGTATTCAGCCTTTCTTAGCCCACTATTAGTAGGAAGTGGATGTGTTACGGACCTAGGGAAACATTCAAATTCAGTCATCTCCCTGTTGGGGATAGGTTTGAGGAACCACTGGCCAATTTGCTAAATGAACAACATCGCACAGTGAAGGAGCTGCTTGAACAGCTGAAGATGAAGAAATCTTCAGCCAGACAGCAGCAAGAAGCTGAGAGGGTTAAGCCCCAGAGTGAGAAAGTTCAACAGACTCTGATTCTAGACCCAGGCCAGAGAAGGAGACTCCAGCAGCAGATGCAGCAGGTAAGACTCTTCTGGTCATGGGACTATTAGATTGTTCCATGATCTGACACTGAAGCCAAAAAAAGTCACAAACAGGTGTCTTTATACCCATTGAAACCATAGGACCACAGAGTCTTCACATTGTTGGAACCCTGAAACATCATCATGTTTGTGTCCATACGGCTCAGGCAAAAAAGCACATATGGACCCTGACAGTATTCAGAACTACCTGTCAAGGAATCCTTAGTAATCCATTCTGAATTTAACATCCTCACTCGCAGAGTAGTTTTTTCTTCTTCCTAATCTTAGGTCCTCTGGTTTGAGATTAAACTTTTTGTTTCTGTCAATTTGTTCAAGGAAAACATACTGAGATACTTTGTCATTCTCATAGTCTCTCCAGAAAGCAAAACATGGTGAAGTTGCAAACACTTTGGTAAGGTCTTCTGGGTTCCTGAAATGACAACATTGTAACATGTCACTGTATTATTTTCTTTCCCTTCCCAGCATGTGCAGCTCTTGACGCAAATTCACCTTCTCGCCGCCTCCAATCCCAGTCTCAGTTCAGAGGCCAGTACCACCAGGATATTTCTTGTAAGGTTCCACATACCCCTAACTAGATCTAAAGACTTGAGTGTGCAGGTAGCTTGGCAGGTTGTTTTCATAGAAATCCACCCATCATAGTCTCTATTTATTCTTCCCTTCTGCATGTTTTGGTAGTTGTTCCTGTGGCTTCCTGTGTTTGCTAAGAGAACATAGCCACTGACCCCCAAGAAAGGACAGACTACATTCAATTTTCTTAAGACTATTCCTCTGATTTTTTTTATTGGGTCCTTGTCTTCATCTTTAGATCTATCTTGACTTTTGAGGTTTTTTGGTACTTCTGTTCTTTTTAGTGAATTCATTATCCACTCATTCATCTCAGTATCACTGTTTTATGTATAAAATTAATTTTGCTCTTGACAATTTGAAGTATTTTGGAGGAAGGGGTTTTAGTATTAAAATTTTATTAAACCCTGTAAAAATTGCCTCTGAACTTTGAGCAGTGATGATACTCGTTGCTTCTTGGTAAGTCTCTTTGGAGTTGGTTCGCATGTTCGCTAGTACTCCAAGCTTCCCTGGTTGTCAACAGGGTGTATTCACCTTTTACTGACGAGCATAAGAAGTGCTTTGTTCTAGGTGTTGTTCAGAGAAACCAAAAGACAAGACATTTTAAAGAGCAGTAAATTTCACTCTTGAGAACCTTAATTGTGGCTGAGGAGCTAGGTAGACCATACATCCATATTCAGTCTAAGAATGAAACAAGAACTACGGAGAGTGTCATGAACACAAAAAATATCTGGGGCCTTAGCAAAAGAGCAGTCTTCATGGAATAATGTTAGTTATGAAAGAATTTGTGATTTTTACTTGTTTTTGTCTTATAGTAGGACGACAGTTTTTCACTCAAAGGCTAAGGGCTACTGGTATTGTCTAGAACTTAGATCTCCTTTGTCTTGTTTTCCCAGAAAGAGCTGGGAACCTTTGCTCAAAGCTCCATCGCTCTTCACCATCAGTTCAACCCCAAGTTTCAGACCTTGTTCCAGCCTTGTAACCTGATGGGAGCTATGCAGCTCATTGAAGACTTCAGCACACATGTCAGCATTGACTGGAGTCCTCGTAAAACTGTCAAGAAGACTGGTAGGGGACAGATGTGTCCACTTCAAGTTTTTACTTGCAGTGTGAGGTGGGAGTCTTATCCCATACATGATGTCCTAGGGATAATTTTCTAGGGATGGAGGAGGCAGGATATTTGTAATTTCTTCCTTCTTTCTTTTATTCTTCCTTTGTACTCATATTTTCAAGTTGTAGAATTACATGAACTTCACTAGGGGATGGAGGCAGTGGACAGGATAGGCTTGGGGGCTAAGAGATCTGAGGCTAGATGCTACGAATTGGACTTAAATAGATGTGAGAATAAGGTCAATAAAGTGGTAAAGTTGGGTTGTGTTTAGGTTTTTACTCTTCTTCATTAAGATCATTTTATTTCCCATAAAGATTGTAGTGGTATCTCCATTTTGAAGGAAACATTGATTTGGAAGTTAGGCACAAATTAGAGATGATGTACATTTGCATGTTCAGTATTTTAAAGACATTGACATGTTTGGTTTCTGTCTTGCATTGGTTTAGTATTTTTGAGAAATGCTTTGCTCTTCCCTTAAAATAAATAGTTGCTTCTGATATGTTTTCTGGTTTAGCAAATTAGTTATAGTTTGCTCTGGATTTTTCTTTGTCTTTGGACTTGATTGAAATCCCTTACTTATAGTTAAATTGAATATAGTTGAATTTAAGTGCATTATGTCATAGACACTGATCTCAAACTATTTTATTAGCTATATGTTGTTAAAGAAAACTTAACACCAAGCTACAGTAATAACTTACACATACGGTGTCCTGTGTGTTTCTTCTGGGGATATGAAAATAACATTTATGGAGGGAGAAATACGGATGTAGTCGTGCATATCTCTGGAAAGGCAGAAGTGCCTGGAATTGAGAGGCTTAGACAGCAAGACAGAAATGAATGAGACTGAATTGTCTCATTCCTTGTGTGGTCTTTTTGTTCCCAATCTCAGGAGGAAACTGGGAGAACTTAATGAAAGTTAAATAAGAATCAAATAAAATAAAATTTGGAATACCAGATTTGTGAGGGAGATTAAAGAAGTTGGAATCTTATCTTGGAAGAAGGAAAGCATTGTTGAAGGTCACTTATCTTTCAAGGATTTAAAGGGGGAAGGAGGTAAAAATTTTTTGCGCATACACTATGTGCCAGGTTATTACTAGGTGCTTCTTAAGTACTTATGTTACATAGTGTGCCAAGTGTTCCACATAGGAAAGAATAAGAATCAAGTTTTAATAACATTGGATGGGGCTCCCTTTAGGTATATGTTAGGCTGAGAAAGATTATGGAAACTTTGGGGGAGGGTGTGTGGGTGGGAGGGCATTAAGTTAGATGGGAGCAGCTCTGTCGAAATGCAAACATGCACTCAGAAGCTTTTGTGAAGCCCTCTTTTGTTCTAGAATTTCATTTATGGATTTTTTTTTTCTAACAGCCTGTGAATTTCCCTGTTTGCCAAAGCAAGTGGCTTGGATCCTGGCCACAAGCAAGGTTTTCATGTATCCAGAGCTACTTCCAGTGTGTTCTCTGAAGGCAAAGAATCCCCAGAATAAGATTTTATTCACGAAGGCTGAGGACAAGTAAGGGTTTACAGTGGGGGGACAAGCACATAATATCCTGAAGAGAAGCTAGTTCTTTTTTGTTGAGGAGCTTAGGGGAAATAGGCATGTATAATAAGACATGGACAAAAAAGACAAAAAGAAAATTGGTGTAGATGGGCAGAATTCCATAGTATATGCTTGTTCCAGCAGTGCCAAGTTCTGTTTTTTGGGGGAATGACATGAACATTTTTTAATCATTTTTGTCATTTATTGTGAATTATTTTTATTTTCTATTTATTCTAAAAACCAATTTTATAATATTTTTATAGGGAAATTCTCAAAGGAAAAAAGATTTTATCATTATCCTAACCACTCCAAAACAATTACTTTTCTCTTTGCATTTCTTATATAATTATCAGCAACTTAAATAGAATTTTGTTTTGCTTTTTTTAACCTAAGGTCTTGAAATTGCTCTTCATGGTCCTTTTTTTTTTTGTTTCTGTGTATTATCTTTTAAAGCAGTATTTAATAACCCTCGGATAGTCCTTCTGTTGGCCACTGTTTTTTCCTCCCCTTTTTTGCCCCTGTAGATGAGGCTTCACTAAATATCTTTGTGCATAGAGCTTTTGAAAATCTTTTTAAGTTTATCCCTTTGGTTCAGTTCCCAAGAATGCGATTATTTGATAAAGGTTATGATGTTTTTATGGCTCTTGATAAGTGTTGCCCTGCTGCCATTGGCAGATAGGTACATACCTAGGTAATCCTAGTTGAATACATTGTTGGTTGGTAGTGTTGGTGCTGATTTAATATGCCTAAACTAGTGCCCATTATTCATTTTATCTTTGTTTTATTAGCACCATTCTCCTTCCTTTGTAGCCCTTTGAACTTTTCTTTGTATTATTATACAGTCTAACATTTATTAGTGATTTATGTCTCATTTTTCCTCTCCTCTCTTGGTTGTGAACTTGTGACTGAGTTGTAGCTCTGGGGGCAAGCATGTTCATAGCCCAGGGCGAATAAACCAGTGAAACCCGTGAAGCCGAAATCAGTCAAGGGGAAAGAGACCTTGTATTTGCTCACAGGGGGCTGCGCCTTAGCCGCTGCTCTGGCTCTCTTCTTGGCCCACGCTTGCCTCTGCGGCCGCAGCTTCAGGGAGCAACTCTGCGGCAGGGTTCCTGGTGACGGACAGGTACCAGGCCAACTACTCAGCAGAGGGAGGAAGAGAACAATGTCTCTCCACCCCTTGTAAATGCCTGTTGATATGGAAATGGCCTAAGGCCAGGCCAGAGATTCTGGAAATACTGCAGTTTTACCCACAGAGTCTTATTCATAGTTCTTATTAGCACTCAGTAAATATCTTAAATTTTCTGTTGAGCAGCAAGCCATTACATGTAGAGAAAGTAGGTTATATCTGGTGAGTTATTTGGGGAGGCTTTTTAGAAGACTGTGAAGTGACATTTAGTGTCATTGCTCTTTCTCAGTTTGTTAGCTTTAGGACTGAAGCACTTTGAAGGGACTGAGTTTCCTAAGCCTCTAATCAGCAAGTACCTTCTAACCTGCAAGACTGCCCAGCAGCTGACACTGAGGATCAAGAACCTTAACATGAACAGAGCTCCTGACAACATCATTAAAGTAAGTGCTTCCCTCAAGTCCCACCTGCGGGCCTCCCCTCTGTACAATCCATTCTTTTTCTTCCTTTTAGTCCAATGAAGAGAGGGACTTTTCATCTAAAGCTAATTCTAAAGCTAATTCCTTCCTCCTGTGCACTAGGTTAATTCCCTTCTTGCCATTCCAGAACACTGATCCATACTTTCCTCTGGAATATCATCTTCTTTTATTAAGGATATTTCCCCTAATTTTAAATTGTTCAGTCTTAAACTATTTCTCTATATTTGATTAGCATGGTAAGCCTGCCCTCAACTATTCTGATAGCCTCAGTCCCAAGATCATCCTTTCCAGCCACGCTTCTGCCAGGGCAGGGGAAGAGGCTGTCACTGGTACAGCAAACAGGAGAGAGGATATGGGGTCTCACTGCCTCTTCAAGAGATGTAACCTGTCCTCCTTATCTTTGCCAGTTTGTAATTCCAGCTTTACATCCACTTCTAGAGGTATCTGGTATCCTATCCTTTTGCCAGCCTTTGACATAAATTTAGTTGGCCCTCAACTTTTCTCAAGGTGGAATTTGGTTTTCTTCATGCTCCTGTGTCAGTTACCACTCATCCATCTGCTTGTTAGCTTTGAAAATTTTGTTGCTTTTACCTTTTCTCTCATACTCTCTCTCCTAGGCTTTTACCTTAAGAAAATTCCTTTCTGCTTTTTTCGTGGGGTTTCAAAAGGGAACAAAGTCAAATGGATGTTTAGACTAACAAGAACAGTTAATCTGCCTATGAACGTGTGGGTATTGTCTGCACAAAGATCTTGAATTATTTCCCAATTGGTTATCCAATGGATGCTTTTCTGCTCTTATCCTGTGTAACTCCACAGTTGATACTACAGTTCACTCATTCTTTCCTCTGTCAATTCTCTTCTCTTCTGTGATTCCAGGACTCTTAACCACTGTCTGCTTGTTTGTGAGCTTTTTTTCCCCTGTTCTGCCCTGAAATGTCAGGGTTCCACAGTAAAGTCATAGTGTGGTCTCTTCCAAATTCATGATTTTTAATATAATCTGTCTCCTCATGGTTCTCAAGTCTATATCTTCAGTCCAGATTTCCCTCCTGAATTCCAGTTTAGTGTGGCCAACTGATCAAGGATTTAAAGGGGGAAGGAGGTAAAAATTTTTTGCGCATACACTATGTGCCAGGTTATTACTAGGTGCTTCTTAAGTACTTATGTTACATAGTGTGCCAAGTGTTCCACATAGGAAAGAATAAGAATCAAGTTTTAATAACATTGGATGGGGCTCCCTTTAGGTATATGTTAGGCTGAGAAAGATTATGGAAACTTTGGGGGAGGGTGTGTGGGTGGGAGGGCATTAAGTTAGATGGGAGCAGCTCTGTCGAAATGCAAACATGCACTCAGAAGCTTTTGTGAAGCCCTCTTTTGTTCTAGAATTTCATTTATGGATTTTTTTTTTCTAACAGCCTGTGAATTTCCCTGTTTGCCAAAGCAAGTGGCTTGGATCCTGGCCACAAGCAAGGTTTTCATGTATCCAGAGCTACTTCCAGTGTGTTCTCTGAAGGCAAAGAATCCCCAGAATAAGATTTTATTCACGAAGGCTGAGGACAAGTAAGGGTTTACAGTGGGGGGACAAGCACATAATATCCTGAAGAGAAGCTAGTTCTTTTTTGTTGAGGAGCTTAGGGGAAATAGGCATGTATAATAAGACATGGACAAAAAAGACAAAAAGAAAATTGGTGTAGATGGGCAGAATTCCATAGTATATGCTTGTTCCAGCAGTGCCAAGTTCTGTTTTTTGGGGGAATGACATGAACATTTTTTAATCATTTTTGTCATTTATTGTGAATTATTTTTATTTTCTATTTATTCTAAAAACCAATTTTATAATATTTTTATAGGGAAATTCTCAAAGGAAAAAAGATTTTATCATTATCCTAACCACTCCAAAACAATTACTTTTCTCTTTGCATTTCTTATATAATTATCAGCAACTTAAATAGAATTTTGTTTTGCTTTTTTTAACCTAAGGTCTTGAAATTGCTCTTCATGGTCCTTTTTTTTTTTGTTTCTGTGTATTATCTTTTAAAGCAGTATTTAATAACCCTCGGATAGTCCTTCTGTTGGCCACTGTTTTTTCCTCCCCTTTTTTGCCCCTGTAGATGAGGCTTCACTAAATATCTTTGTGCATAGAGCTTTTGAAAATCTTTTTAAGTTTATCCCTTTGGTTCAGTTCCCAAGAATGCGATTATTTGATAAAGGTTATGATGTTTTTATGGCTCTTGATAAGTGTTGCCCTGCTGCCATTGGCAGATAGGTACATACCTAGGTAATCCTAGTTGAATACATTAGTTGGCCCTCAACTTTTCTCAAGGTGGAATTTGGTTTTCTTCATGCTCCTGTGTCAGTTACCACTCATCCATCTGCTTGTTAGCTTTGAAAATTTTGTTGCTTTTACCTTTTCTCTCATACTCTCTCTCCTAGGCTTTTACCTTAAGAAAATTCCTTTCTGCTTTTTTCGTGGGGTTTCAAAAGGGAACAAAGTCAAATGGATGTTTAGACTAACAAGAACAGTTAATCTGCCTATGAACGTGTGGGTATTGTCTGCACAAAGATCTTGAATTATTTCCCAATTGGTTATCCAATGGATGCTTTTCTGCTCTTATCCTGTGTAACTCCACAGTTGATACTACAGTTCACTCATTCTTTCCTCTGTCAATTCTCTTCTCTTCTGTGATTCCAGGACTCTTAACCACTGTCTGCTTGTTTGTGAGCTTTTTTTCCCCTGTTCTGCCCTGAAATGTCAGGGTTCCACAGTAAAGTCATAGTGTGGTCTCTTCCAAATTCATGATTTTTAATATAATCTGTCTCCTCATGGTTCTCAAGTCTATATCTTCAGTCCAGATTTCCCTCCTGAATTCCAGTTTAGTGTGGCCAACTGTTTAAAGGAATTCATACCTCAGTTGCCTCACTGAGTTCTTGAATTGAGTTTTGGGTTCCCTGTACACCCTCCAGTTGTTGCCACTGCCACCACCACCAACAGCAGATTCCCCTCCCTGAACTTATCTTGTCTGTGATCTGTGTTCTCTGTATGACATTACTGTCTAGCCATTTTCTCAATCCATAAACCTGGTAGCTATCCTCAGCTCGTGTTTGATTGCTACCATATGCCTGTCAGTCACCAGCTCCTTAGTTTCTTATTCTATTTCCTACTCTGTTGTCCACTGCCTTTGTTCAGGCATTTCTTGCAACTGGATTAATGCAGTAGTTGTCCAACTGCTATCTAATTCTGGCTCCGTTCTGTCCTTCACATTGCTGCCATAGCCACTTCGTCTCATCCTTCTGACGAGAGTTCAGATTGGTTAGTATGGCCCAGGAGGGCCTACCCTGCCTCCCTCTGGCTTGTCTCCTGAAATCTCTCCACATTCCTTTAGTTGTAGCCAGACCAATCTCTTTGTGGTTTCTTAACACTTAACGTGATTTTGAACAAGAAGTGCTCTACCTCCCCTGCCTCTTGCAGCAAACTGTTTCATTAAGATCCAGCTATAGTTGCACCTGGTGTAGAAAAATCTTTACTGCAAATTTGAGTTGTGTGTCATCTTTTTGTGCACATCTCTGTATAGTTTCTTAGATAGAATGTCATTGGTCTACTTGACTGTCTCTCCCGCTGGTCTGTGAGCAGCCTGAGAGCAGGACTTGCTTCTCTTATTTATATGCTTAGCTTGTAGCACAGTGCGTGGCACACAGAAGGCATTCAACAAGTGTTGAATGAATGGATGTTTACTGTCAGTGTAATTTCAGTCCCCCTTTTCATTTACTCTTAAAACTGAACCGTGTTTGTCTGTTTTCCTTTCCTTTCCCTTCTCTTCTCATGTCCTCTGCACCATTATTTGCTTAAAAGGAAGCTTCTGTGTGTCAGTATAAGGGTTCAGGCACTATCACTGTAGCTGTTGAGCAGAAGGAAATTTTAAATGCTTCTTTTTCTCTGTGACCTGACTTTTCCCTTCCTAGTGACCAGAATGGAGATCATCAGTTAGAAGATACTGAGTAATTGTAAAATCTTTAGTAATTCGAGATTAGTTTATTTGAAATGCAGAAGCAGTCAGCACATGCCTTATATATATGTGTATATGTGGATGTCTGTGTGTGCATCTTTATCTCAAACCACTGCCCATGCTACTCCCCGTCCTGACAGAGGGCAATGTTTCTGAAAGGAATATAATTCATTCCTTATTTCTTCCTGCTTAGTTTTATAAGAAGACCAAGCAGCTGCCCATCTTAGTGAAGTGCTGTGAAGAGATACAGCCGCATCAGTGGAAGCCACCCATAGAGAGGGAAGAACATCGGCTTCCATTCTGGTTGAAGGTACAACCCTCCTCCTCAAAGTATGTTGGAGACAGAGGATCACTAAGACCCAGCAGATACATCAAGGGCTATTTTGCACCTCTAATGTTTTAGTTATAGAACTAAGACTTCAGAAACCTTCCTCATTCACTTTTCCTCTCCTACCTCTCCCCCGCACCCCCATCAGGTGTTCCACAACTTTTTAAACAATAGTGGGTAGAATAATAGTTTCCCAAGGAAATTCAGAGTTTCTAAAGTACATAATTGGAATGTAGTCTTCATAGAAATTTGATACTGTGCAGAAAAATCCTTCTTGAAAAGATGTCTTGAGACTGTCCAGGAAAGGTTCCTAAAATCTAGAAAACCCTACTCTTCTTTTACCAAGTTCTACATGTGCTAGATCGGGATGTTTTTGTTCCCAATAGGCCAGTCGGCCGTACATCCAGGAAGAGCTGCGGCACATACCTGATGGTGCCGGGGAGGCAGGAAATGAGACTGGAGCCACTGAGGTCAACTCAGACCCAGGCCTAGGGAAAGGCAGCTTGGAACTGGGGAGTGAAACTCCGTACCCGCTGCTGTTGCCTAAGGGTGTAGTCCTAAAACTGAAGCCAGTTGCCAACCGCTTTTCCAGAAAGGCATGGAGACAGAAGCGGTCGTCAGTCCTGAAGCCTCTCCTTATTCGACCTAGTCCCTCTGTCCAGCCTAGCTCCAACTTTGGGAAAACACCAGCGAGGTCAACTCAGTCAGAAGCCCCTCCAAGCAAAATGGTGGTCCAGATTCCTACCATGATCCAGCCAGCCACTGTCTTACAGACAGTCCCAGGTGTCCCTCCACTGGGGATCCCTGGAGGTGATAGTGTGGACACTGTCTTCCCTCTGCCTGAGTCCCAGACCGTGGTCTCCTCTACCCCACTACTCGTGCCCAAGCTAATGCTGCCCTCTCTTGCCCCTTCTAAATTTCGAAAGCCAAGTGTGAAACGAAGAACTTCAAAGAGGAAGGGGGCCAAGACCTCTGTCTGTCTGAAGCCTGCCCCCCTCATCCACCCTGCGCCTGTCATTTTCACTGTCCCTGCCACCACCGTGAAGGTTGTGAGCCTTGGCAGTGGCTGCAATGTGATCCAACCTGTCAATGCAACTGTGGCCCCAACTTCTCAGACCATTCCCATCACCACACTCTTGGTTAACCCTGCTTCCTTCCCCTGCCCATTGAACCAGCCTCTTGTGGCTTCCTCTGTGCCACCCTTAATTGTTTCTGGGAACTCTGTGAAACTTCCTGTGCCATCCACACCTGAAGATAAGGCCCAAGTGAATATGGATGTTGGTTGTCCTTTGGCTGAAGGGAAAAATGCCTTTCAAAGCCTAGAACCTAAGTTAGAGCCCCAGGAACTGTCTCCTGTCTGTGCTCCTGTTTTCCTGAAGGAGGAGCGCAGCCCAGGCCCTCCCCCAGCAGGTGGAGCATGCCAGGAGGAATTGTCAGAGAACAACGTCTATAGCTGGACTATCGTGAAAACAGAGGAGGGGAGGCAAACCCTGGAACTACTGCCTCAGGGCTTCCAGGAATCGCTGAACTCTCCCCCTGGGAATTTAGAGGAAGTTGTCAAGATGGAACCTAAAGACCCTGGGGAGGAAATCGCCAGTGGATCCTCAGAGCAGGACATGGGTGATGAAGTCAAAGAAGAGCGCTCTGCAGAGCTGGGCACTGGCTTCTCAAGTGAGGAGTCAGGCGGTGCTAGAGAGGTGAAGAAACAGTCAGTCCTCCAGGGGGAGGAGGAGAGGAGTCCACCGGCTAAAGCCTCGTCAGCTTCTCAGGAGCCTCCTGCTGAAGGAAACTCAGGGGATGCGAGCAAAAGCTCTCCAAAGACTGCTTCTTCCTCCACTGACCCTGAGGTGGTGCTTAGCAGCCCCCCTGGGAAGCCTGAAGACTCATCCAGCGTTGATGGCCAGTCAGTGGGGACCCCAGCTGGGCCGGATACTGGAGGAGAGAAGGATGGGCCAGAGGAAGAGGAAGAAGAGGACTTCGACGACCTTACCCAGGATGAGGAAGATGAGATGTCGTCAGCCTCTGAGGAATCTGTGCTCTCGGTCCCAGAACTCCAGGTGAGATTGAGGGATATTCTCATGTAGTCTGTGGACTCAGTCATATGTTTAATTTATTGATAGGCCACCTGCTTGCTTGCTTGCTACACTATAGATAGTCCTAAAATAATTTTTATTTGACTTTGGAATGGATTATGGGACATAATTTGAGGTTGAGGTGAGAGGAGAAGGAAAGGGTGGACTTCTACTTACTATATTTGCCTTAAACTCATTTAAATGTTAAATTGAATCACTTGAGCACAGTTTAAATGTCAAAAAAGAAAAGTCGATCATGAGAATGGACTGCAGCAAGGGAGACTATTCTTAGGGTAGAGGGGGCCTTTCAGAGTGCAGCCTCCCCACCCCCGCTGTTGGGCAGCAGCCACTGCTGCCTCTGATTCTGTGCCTTGGAAGAGCAGCCTTCTCCCTGTGGTACTCCGCCTCCTTCACCCATACACACACCCCCGTTGATTAACCTCGGCTCCTCCTGACAGTCGCTGTGCAGTCAGCACTTGGCGAGCCCTTAGCCCTGGTGAACACTCTTCGGGGGGGTTTGCAGGAAACCATGGAGAAACTGACTTGGCTTGCGTCTGAAAGGCGCATGAGTCAGGAGGGTGAATCTGAGGAAGAGAACTCCCAGGAGGAGAACTCGGAGCCTGAGGAAGAAGAAGAAGAAGAAGCAGAAGGAGCAGAAAGCCTGCAGAAGGAGGATGAAATGACAGGTGAAGCAACTGGAGACCCTGCCGAGAAGCCGCCTGCCACCTTTTCCTCACCCAGGACCCCTCCGGAAGTGGAGGCCGGCAGGACCTCAGCAGGTGAGTGTGGCACCTGCAGGAGGGGCAGGTCCCAGTTGGCCTCACTGGATCTGGGCAGAGCGGCTAGCTTATAAACCAGGTGCAAGTTCCCAGAGGAGATCTTCTGGATATCCCCTGCCGTCTTCCTTCCCCGACGCACGTCTAACTGGGTGCCTTTGCAGAGAAAAAATGCTCAGAAGTTTTAAGTTCAACTCTTGTTGGCTGCTGGATTTGTATTAGGTTCATCCAGGCTTACACTGGCACTTAATTCATCTGTCACGCCTGAGGCTACAAGCTATGGTTATTTCAGAAAAGACTGCTTACTCCTCACCAAGACATAGTCCCTTGAGAGCCCAGCCAAGGCCGTACTCACTCTTTAGACTTCCTTCCTTGCTGTGCAGTAACTCAGTATCCCACCATTACCCCAGTTAATGCAGTTAACACTCCCAACTGGGCACAGAGCCGCCACGATGGGGGCGGGTGCCTCTTGCACTGTTCTCCCTACAGTTTGTCTTTTGAGTTGCTCCAGAACTTCGACCAGGATTTGGACGGGGTGATTCGACGACCTTACCCAGGATGAGGAAGATGAGATGTCGTCAGCCTCTGAGGAATCTGTGCTCTCGGTCCCAGAACTCCAGGTGAGATTGAGGGATATTCTCATGTAGTCTGTGGACTCAGTCATATGTTTAATTTATTGATAGGCCACCTGCTTGCTTGCTTGCTACACTATAGATAGTCCTAAAATAATTTTTATTTGACTTTGGAATGGATTATGGGACATAATTTGAGGTTGAGGTGAGAGGAGAAGGAAAGGGTGGACTTCTACTTACTATATTTGCCTTAAACTCATTTAAATGTTAAATTGAATCACTTGAGCACAGTTTAAATGTCAAAAAAGAAAAGTCGATCATGAGAATGGACTGCAGCAAGGGAGACTATTCTTAGGGTAGAGGGGGCCTTTCAGAGTGCAGCCTCCCCACCCCCGCTGTTGGGCAGCAGCCACTGCTGCCTCTGATTCTGTGCCTTGGAAGAGCAGCCTTCTCCCTGTGGTACTCCGCCTCCTTCACCCATACACACACCCCCGTTGATTAACCTCGGCTCCTCCTGACAGTCGCTGTGCAGTCAGCACTTGGCGAGCCCTTAGCCCTGGTGAACACTCTTCGGGGGGGTTTGCAGGAAACCATGGAGAAACTGACTTGGCTTGCGTCTGAAAGGCGCATGAGTCAGGAGGGTGAATCTGAGGAAGAGAACTCCCAGGAGGAGAACTCGGAGCCTGAGGAAGAAGAAGAAGAAGAAGCAGAAGGAGCAGAAAGCCTGCAGAAGGAGGATGAAATGACAGGTGAAGCAACTGGAGACCCTGCCGAGAAGCCGCCTGCCACCTTTTCCTCACCCAGGACCCCTCCGGAAGTGGAGGCCGGCAGGACCTCAGCAGGTGAGTGTGGCACCTGCAGGAGGGGCAGGTCCCAGTTGGCCTCACTGGATCTGGGCAGAGCGGCTAGCTTATAAACCAGGTGCAAGTTCCCAGAGGAGATCTTCTGGATATCCCCTGCCGTCTTCCTTCCCCGACGCACGTCTAACTGGGTGCCTTTGCAGAGAAAAAATGCTCAGAAGTTTTAAGTTCAACTCTTGTTGGCTGCTGGATTTGTATTAGGTTCATCCAGGCTTACACTGGTACTTAATTCATCTGTCACGCCTGAGGCTACAAGCTATGGTTATTTCAGAAAAGACTGCTTACTCCTCACCAAGACATAGTCCCTTGAGAGCCCAGCCAAGGCCGTACTCACTCTTTAGACTTCCTTCCTTGCTGTGCAGTAACTCAGTATCCCACCATTACCCCAGTTAATGCAGTTAACACTCCCAACTGGGCACAGAGCCGCCACGATGGGGGCGGGTGCCTCTTGCACTGTTCTCCCTACAGTTTGTCTTTTGAGTTGCTCCAGAACTTCGACCAGGATTTGGACGGGGTGGGTGCTTGTGGCTGGGTGGGAAGAGTAGGAGTTGCAGGAACAGAGAATCAGTCTTTTCCACCTGTACTCTAAGGAGAGCACATCAAAGCTGCTGGGAAGGGCAGAAGCAGTCATCGAGCTCGCAGCAAGCGGGGAAGTCGGGCCCGGGCCAGCAAGGACACCTCCAAGCTGCTGTTGCTGTATGATGAGGACATTCTTGAGCGGGATCCACTCAGGGAGCAGAAGGATCTGGCCTTTGCTCAGGCTTATCTCATCAGGGTAGGCAAATGCTACTTCCTGTTGCTGCTATTCCCTGTGAATGGGGCTGCTTCTCCATCAAGGGAGGTGTTTTTAAAATGAAGTCTGCTTTCTCATAGACACTGAGAAATTGCTGGTGGTTACCATGGTGGAGGGGCTAGAGTAGGTGGGTGGGGAGGGTGAGGTGGATAAAGGGGCAGAAAAGTTCTCAGTCATCATGTAAGTCAGTCACGGGGATGGTAGTACAGCACAGAGAATACAGTCAGTGATTCTGTAACATCTTTCTCTGTTGACTGATAGTATCCGCACTAGTGGAAGTGAGGATTTAATATCCGTTGAACCACTGTGTTGTGTACTTGAAACCAATATAAGATTGTAAAACAAACAAACATGTGAAGTGTGCTCTTCAGGCTGTTGCAGAACAGCCTTGCCTGCGTCTGCCTTTGTTCTTGGAATTACCAAGATGTATGTGAGAGAAACACAAGGAGATGGAGTCATTGACAGACAGGCTCATTGTTAGTACCTTGGCATGACCCCTCTGTTGCCCAGAAATTGGGGGAAGATGATGTCACCATCAGTAGTGAGAGGTGAGGCCTCACTGGGTGGGCTGCTAAGGGCCCTTACTGAGTCCTCGGCTTGAGAAGATGGGCCTTTGGTGGACCATCCAGAGAGCGGGTCTCAGGGAAGCACCCTGATCATCAGACGTGAGCCAGCCTCTTCCTGGTAGCTGTCCTGCATAGCTGTCCCATTCTTTTGGTAGCCAGCAGGTTCCTTTATCCCCGAGTAGGGGGAGTACTAGCAGCAATAGTTGTGACTCTTTCTTGTCTCACGTGTTACTAACATTCCTAATTTCCGTATTACTTACCCTCACCTGATACCTTGCTGAAATCAATGTACAGAACATTCCCTATCTATTTCAGTATTGAGCTGAACCAGGAAGAGGTAGGGCTGTGAACTAGAGAAAAGTTTACCTGGTTTTGGGGGTAGGGCTATGGTCCCCGGAGAAGGAATGCTTTTCAGTTGCCCGCTGCCTACCAGAAAAGAAGCTGTGCTTTGCTCACTGCTCAGTGTCTTCCATTCATATTCACACCTAAAGGCCTGTAGGAGGAGAACCTCTGCAGGATAATTCTGGGACCTCTGACAATAATTCCTTCTCCTCCTTTCAGACTGTTTTGTGGGGGCCCAAAGAAAGGGTACTGATGATTGGAAGTCTTTCCGTATAGGTACGAGAGGCCCTGCAACATACCCCTGGCAAGTATGAGGACTTCCTTCAGGTCATCTACGAATTTGAGTCCAGTACTCAGAGGCAGACAGCTGTGGACCTCTACAAAAGCCTGAAAATTCTGCTCCAAGACTGGCCTCAGCTGTTGAAGGACTTTGCTGCTTTCCTGTTGCCTGAGCAAGCTCTGGCCTGTGGTTTAGTGAGTAGATGGGTAAAGATGGCACACTAGGATTCCTGGTCACAGAGAGCCTGGGATTGGATAGAGTTGATGAACACTGTTCCAGCCTCCTGACTGTTCCAGGCAGACAGCCCTCCCCAGCCCAAGGCAATAAGGGATTCCTTCTTATTCAAGGGCTGGTCTTCCCAGTCACCATTCTTCATTTTCTTTACATGTGGAATGAGAGTGTTTTAACTTTAGTTGCCAGTGGAGGCCTTAGGTAAACCATACTTTGCTCCTCACTGTTGTAAAATGGGCATTCATTCAACAGACAAATATACTAAATGCCAACTATGTGTTAGGCAAGTTCTAGGTCTAGGAATATACTAATTATAAAAGACTAAAATCTTTACCCTTGTGGAACTTACAGTCTCATGTAAGGTCAGATGATAAACAGTAAAATATATAGTCAGTATATACATTATAAAAATTACAAAATAGATATGAACAGTAAAATATATAACACATGATGCTTTATAGTGATAATGTCTTATAGAAAAATATCAGGAAAGGGCAATAGAAAATTGTAGGCAGAAAGGGCGAGGAGTGGGGTGTTCTGTTTTTATACATGGTGACCAGGGAAGGCCACTGTAGTAAGGTGACAATAGAAATACTGGAGAAATGTCTAAACATGAGTGATAATATCCCAATAGTTTTGGGTTTCTTGTCATGATTGACGAATACAAGGAAAAGGACATAATGAAATCTTTCTGGCAGTCTTAAGGCAGTTAAATGATTATGTATATCATGCCAGTCTTCACTTCCTGTATTGTTATGAGGATCGAATGAATATACATATGTGAAAATTCTCTGTAAACCATGAAATGCAACATGAATTTGTCTCTAATTTCTCAGTCCATGAAACAATGAACAACCTGAGGTATGTGCATCTCTTGAATCTTTCATTCACATCTTTGTCATTGGGGTCGGTAGACTCCAGTGACTCATGGTGGACAGATGTCAGCCTCTTAAAAAAGATCCTACAGTTGTGAACTAGAGCCCTGTCACCCCCCACACCCCCAGCCTATTTCTCTTGATTCTTATGCTTAGAACACTCCTGTCCTGCTCTAGCTGTATCAGTGACACCTTTCTGCCCTCTTTCCACTCTGGTAGTTTGAGGAGCAGCAGGCTTTTGAGAAGAGTCGCAAGTTTCTTCGGCAGCTGGAAATTTGCTTTGCGGAGAATCCCTCGCACCACCAGAAGATTATCAAGGTCCTCCAAAGCTGTGCAGACTGCCTGCCGCAGGAGATCATGGAGGTATTCTTCCCTGTCTCCCTTCCCCAGCCTCTCGCACATCCTCCTGCTTCCCAAGTACCATGGACCTCCTGGAGGGGATGAAGAAGGCAAAGACTTTTTAGGCCTACCTGAAACGCACAGCACTGGAATAGGGGGTAGTTGCTGCGTAAAAGCAGAGCCTGACTGATCTTTGCAGGCTCAGGAATGCTGTCAGGTCCCTGGAAGGGAAGCTCAAGGAAGGAGGCGATGGGGCCTAGGAGGAGTTTACCTCCTTGCTCTGCTTGGGTTGGGGCCTGAGCTGGATGGAGATCGGTAGTGCAGGGGTAGAAAGTGTTGTCACTAGGGATCACACTTATCATTAATACCCCTCCCATCTGGGCAAGCAGGGATGGAGGTGAAGTGTAAGAATTCTTAGCTACCAAAGAGAGGCTTGTGTGTGTCTCCCATCTGACTAGGAAAGCCAACTTGTAAGGACATGGGATTGGTGTGGGGTGGCAGCCTGGAGAGGCTCTGGAGACTTCATCTTTTCCTCTGTACCTCTTTCCAGCTCAAGACACAGATGTGGCAGCTGCTCAAGGGCCACGACCACCTGCAGGATGAGTTCTCCATCTTCTTTGACCATCTACGCCCAGCGGCTAGCCGGATGGGTGACTTTGAAGAGATAAACTGGACTGAAGAGAAGGAGTATGAGGTACAGTCCTGGGGCTGCAGGAGGGCTCGGGACGTGGGGGGACCATGTGTAGGAGGAATATCTGCCCGGAGTCTGTGTTGAGTGGCACCAACTCCTCCCCAGTTTGATGGCTTTGAAGAAGTGGCACTGCCTGATGTGGAAGAGGAAGAGGAGCCCCCCAAGATACCCACAGCCTCGAAGAGCAAGAGAAGAAAAGAGATGGGGGTCCAAAATCATGATAAGGTACACCAAATTGCTGGGGATTATCTATTTTTCATGAGTTTTCTGTGTGTCCTGGCTCAGTGTGGTGCAGAGCGTCGGGGATCCGAGGCAGTGGGGAGCAGGAGCCACAGGTCAGGCCGCGGGACACGCAGCGCCCAGGGGAAGAGCAGTGCGGTTGCGTCATTAGAAGGATCTGCTTCCCCCTTTTCTCTCTGGCTCAGAGTTCTTTCTCTTCTCCTTAGGTGTTGACTTCTTCCTTTCTGTTCATGTGGAGAAACAGAAGCATGATTCCCCATTCTAACGATAGTGGTAACAGCTAACACTTGGCTGTGTTATATTATCATGCATCTCTTGGAAGTGGTTTACATGACATATTCACTCACTTACTCTCACAGTAGTCCTATGAAAAGATCACTCCTGTTTGTTTTACGGAACAGGGAGCTAAAGGCCAGCACTGCCAGGATCTCCCATTGCATAAGCAGCAGTGCTAGGATATGAACCGGGGTGATCTGGCTCCTGAGTCCCCTTGTGCTCAGTGTTCTCTACTGCTCTTCAAGAAGTAGTCTTTTTAATCAACGTCCCTTTACTACGTCTTTCACTCTTTTCTTGGGGAAAAACAGCTTCTTAGTAGCTGAATGACCTTGGGCAGCTTATTTAATCTCGCTTTGTTTTAGTCTCTTCATCATCAAGGGGGATAATAATGGTACTTGTCTTGGGTTTATTGACCAGAGTATCACTGAGTGAATCTCCCATATGTACAGAGCCCTCTCTCAAGGGGACTGGGAGAGAGGGGGGACCTCAAGGCACAGGGAGACAGAACCAGACACAGGAGTGAGTAGATCTCAGGACGGAGCTCTCCAGTGCCTTTGCATCAGATTGTATTTGACGTAAATATTTCTTGACACATCTGGGCAATTGAGATATGTCAGTCTTTGAGTCATTTAAGGAATTTTTTTCAGGGATCCATAGTAGGCTTTAATCGAATTTGGGCCTTGATTTCCTGAGGCCGTGTGAAGAGATGGTGTATAACAAAAGAGAAAGGACGGCTTTGTTCAGATGGCTCGCGACTTAGCCTCTCCTCTTGGTACCGTAAGTGCCTGGCTGCTAACGAAGCCTAGGTGTCTCCTAGGAGGCTGAGTGGCCAGATGGGGTCAAGGACTGTGCCTGTTCCTGCCACGAAGGAGGCCCTGATTCCAGGCTGAAGAAGAGCAAAAGGAGAAATTGTAGCCGCTGTGGCAGCAAGGTGAGGAAGGAGCTGGGGCCAGGGGTGTCAGAGCTGCCCAGGGGCCTCTGGTTGCCTTAGTGTGGGGGGCATGTTTTGCTACCACAGGTGTGTACCTTACTGAGTTCCTGAAAGGATAATACATACATACAAATAATGGGCAGAACACATACACATTAGTATGTGTGTACAAAATAAGTAGAATCCTAAAAATATATATTGGATTTTGCTTTTTTAAGAGAATTCTATAGGTTAAACTTCTGCAATTGGGAAAGTCAATCAATTTGAATATTTCCCCCTCAGATTTTTTTTTTTTGATGAAATAAGCCCATGTCAGTAAAGCAGCCCATGAAGGTAGTGCTGGTTCTCCAGAGTAGGGCTGGTTGGCAGCGAACTACAGTCTTTGGTTAGAGAAGGAGCAGGAGGGTCCGTAGTCTGTCCTGGGCCACCACAAAGCGCTGGGGCAGACGCTCTTGCTGGGTGACTTGCTGAGCATCGGGGCAAGGCTTCCTCCTCTGGTCGGGGCCCCGAGACGGAGGTCAGGAGACCCTTGACCCAGAAGGCCATCCTGCAGGTCTGTGACAGCAGATCCTACAAGAGCAAGGAGCCGCCCGAGCCAGTGGGCAGCAGCCCCCACCGAGAGGCCAGTCCTATGCCTGGTGCTAAGGAAGCTGGGCCCGGCAAGGACGCGATGGAGGAGGAAGCCGCAGGGGAGCGAGGAAGCACTGAGGCAGCCCAGAGCAGGACCGGCAGGAGCACCAGAAGGGGAGAGGTGTCCGTTCCAGGTGAGCAGTCAGACTGCCCGGCCCGTGTTTCTCCCTTTATTTCTGTCTCATTCTCACTCACTTCAGGCGGGAACTTCCCGTGAGCCCACCCCACTTAAGTAGCGGTCCGTTCAGGGAGGGGCCACCACCTCTTCGCCTGTCCAGCCTTAGTTTTCTCTCCTGTAGCCTCAACTCCTTGCAGAATTAAGAGTGCTACAAAACCCACGGTTCAGTGTTCTCATGTGCCCATTCCTGAATCCCTTCCCCTTATCTCCAGGTCCTCTGCACAAGATCTGCATTCTAAAGACTCAGCCACTTTCAGCTGTGGCAGCTCAGCTTAATGTCAGCTTTACATGTAACTTTGCCGCCCCCCCCACCCCACACTGTGTTCTTCTACCTTAGAACTTTCTCACAGTAGCACAGCAGAGTGCCGTGTGGTAGTTCATGATCCTCTTGACCCTGTCCATACCCTTAGACCCTTCGTTCTCCTCCTACACAGGATTAGCAGTGGGGAATACGTGGCCGTCCCCTCAAGAAGTGACTCCTACAGACCGGCCCCTCCTGGATGGCTTGCCACCCTGCTCACCAGAGACTCCTCAGCTTCCTTCCAAAACCGGAGCTGTGCCACGTACCATCAGGAGAAGCCAGGCCGGGCCTGAGGTTCCCTCACGCCCAGCAGCATCCCCCAAACCTCAGAATGAGGGGGAGGGTCCTAAAGCAGTGGGTGCGTCAGAGGCTTCCATGCTGGTCTGGGATGCCTCAGAGACTGAGAAACAGCCTGGAACTGTTGAACCCGCTGCTTCCTCCCCAAGTCCTGTTTCCTCAAGGACCAGAGACTTAGGGAGAAGACAGGTGTCCGGGAAACCAGAGACTCAAGAGAGCTGGCTGCCTTCAGACAGGGCTGGGGTGAAAACCGCAGACAGGATGTTGCCTGGCCATGAATCTTTGTCAGGAACTGACACCTCAGAGACTTCTTCCAAAGCCCCTAGACGGGGTCTGGCTAAAGACAGTGGAGTACAGGGCAAGGGGCCAGTGGGGGAGCAGCAGCCCAAGGCCACGGAAGCCACGGTCTGTGCCAACAATAGCAAGGTCAGCTCCACCGGGGAAAAGGTGGTGCTGTGGACAAGGTAGGCAGTGGGAGCAGGGGGACGGTGCATGAGGGTTAGACAGGCGCATGGCATTTTAATCATGGCGCCTGGCTTACAGGGAAGCTGACCGCGTGATCCTCACCATGTGCCAGGAACAGGGAGCACAGCCACAGACTTTCAGCGGCATCTCCCAGAGGCTGGGAAACAAGACCCCCTCCGAGGTCAGTGGGGGAAGTGCTGCAGAGCTCCAGGCCCAGCGGGAGTGAGGGGAGGGCTGGCGAGCAGAGGACAGGTTGGTCAACTGAGAAGTGGAAGACACCAGCTGCAGGTCATGGAGGTCTGCTTGGAGGAGGGGCTTGGCTTGGCAGGGTGGTTGCTAGCGGTTCTAGAAGAGAAGGGACATTGGATTTTGGGGTAGAGGCCCCAGAGGTTCCATTCTAGTTTTGTTTGTAAGAGGTGTGTGACTTTGGGCACAATATTTCGCCTCTTAACCTGAGTTTCCTTATCACAACCTTGCTGTGTGGACAAATAAGACTGTCCAGCTGTGCACAGTGCTTCCTAGGTGTGAACATGTTGCTTAGGCACGGTGAATGCAGCTCCGCCCTCCTCCTAGGTTTCCCACCGTTTTCGAGAACTCGTGCAGCTCTTCCACAGCGCCTGCGAGGCCAGCTCTGAGGACGAGGAGGACGCGGCCAGCACGGGCAATGCGGACCAGCTGTCTGACCGCGGGGACCTACTGTCTGAGGAGGAACCGGATGAGTGAGACTCGGAGGTGTGGGTGTCGTCTGCACTGGATCAAAACCAACCGGCGGACAGAGAGGGTGGTCATACTGCGCTTGTAGCACCTTGAGCTCAGTGTGCAGAGCAGGAGGAGCAGGTGCGAGGACTAGGAAGTCTGAGGTCTTTTCTGAAGACCTTAGAAACCTACTTTGTGAATAGCATTGAGGGAGAGTGGGGTTCACCTCCTTTTCTACCTTTTCCTGCCCAGTCTGATGGTACATATTTATTGTCCTGTGATCTAATCACAGTGTTTCTAAATGTAATAAAACTCATATGTTGGTACAGCCAGTCCCAAGACACCACACTTCTGCACCCAGCAGTTTTTATTGTAAACGAACTCTTTTCCTTTCTTGGGACGTTAGTCCATGAGGTTGTCACCGCCCTGGTAGCACTGAGCCAGACTGTGCAGCTCCTGCAGCGTCTCCTCTAGGTCATCCTGTTCCACTCCGGCATCCATGAAGCTGGCCCACCGCCGCAGGTCAAGTCTGGCGAGCTCCCTGGCTAAGTCTTCCAGGGTCTGGTTCAAGGATGAGGAGGAGCAGAGGGCCCCGAGCACTGGGATGCTCTCCACTGCTATGGAGAGAGAGACAAGGGAGACCTGTAGGTGGCCTGTTACTCTGCCCTGGGACTTGGTCGTACAGACAGGGAAGTCTGAGGCTTTGATAGGTTTGATTATACAGTAAACTCAGTGAATTTTGTGTCCCATCCCCTTAGTATGCCATCCCCTTAGTAGTCCAGAGGAAGAACACTTCTGTCAGGGGCCATGGAGTGAATAAAGGAATGTCTGTGAACTTTCTAAGTACCTGTATCCAGGAGGGGACATAGTGAAACCTCTCTCATGCTTGCAGTCTTGGTTTTCTTCACCTCCTACATACCTGCCCCAGTTGGGGGACCATCTAGAACCAGCCCTTGCTGGCTGAGGCTTGAGGAGAAGAGGTCAGGGTAAGGAGGAGCCACCTTGCAGGGAGTCAGCAGCACATGGGAAGAACTGTGGGGGCAGGTGCACAGCAGCTGAGTGAGAAGAAGCCAAGGCAGGCCTGAGGTCTGGGAGGAGAGGAGCAAGCATTAGACTGACCTCCTGGCTCTAGGCTGCTGCTGCTGTAGGTACTGCGCCAAGACGTCTTCCTCAGTGGTGCCCGCATGGAGGGGAGAGGGCAGAGGTGTCCCTGGGATGAGCTGACTGCCGGAACAAAGCAAAACCACCTTTAATCTGTGGTGGCATGAATACAGAACTAAGGCTTCTTACGTTCTCAGGCCATGTACTGAATCAGGATGCTCAAAGTCTTTGTTTTCTTTTCTTTTCTTTTTTTTAAAGTGAGGCAGAGGGAAAGGGGGCCATGCTACCGGAAGGTCCAGAGATACTGGAGAGGAAAGGAAGAGTCCTGACGAGGACCCCTCAGGGGACCGCTGCTCACCTGGCGTGGTGTGCCTTGTCTACACCCCTCAGCACCACTGACTGGGCAAAGCAGCGTGTGTCAGAAGGGTCCCCACATGCAGACAGTGGGGTCCACGGTGTGGCTCCTCCAAGCTGCACCAGGGTATCAGGAAGGGACTGGCTTGAAACCAAGGGGAAGGGAATAGCTGCTGCTGCCACCACCACCTATGGGTAAGGAAGAGACCGCGCCTCAGAGCTTTGTCTCAGCGCTGACCCAGCCCTTCACAAAGCTTTGTACCTTTTTCCCAGAGAAGTTCAGCATATCAGCCAGATGAACCATGGAAACTGGCGAGGAACGCAGGCGGTACGGAACCGTGATTGTGTCCAGGGCTGTAGCCAGGATGGCACTACAGTGGAAGGGCAGGGTGGCCTGTAAAGAGGATACCAAGAAGAGCACTGGGCCTTTCAGATCTGGAAGAGAGTGTGGAGGCAGAACCGTATGGCAGAGAGGCTCAGTGCTTTGGGACCGAGCAGGGCAGTGTTTGGCCCCAGGATGGACAGGCGTAGGACAGACAGTGTGACCTAAGAGGCCACATCACAGCTGAGTTCAAGCTCAAGTTTCACTCACTGAGCCAGTAACAAAGGCTGACTTGGTGGGGTGGGGTGGGATGGAATTGGAGGCTCTCTAGCTGCAGTCAGAACAAGTGCGTAGAGCCTTACGTCGTAATGTAGGTGAGGGAAGCTGACAGGTGGCTGAGGTCGCAGCCCCAGGCTGCCCCCCAAGGATAAGGGGCACACCAGAGTGCTGTGAGCAGACAGGCGCACCAGACCAAACGCAGTGTTTAACAGCCGATAGACGTTTTTCTGGGGCTCCTGGTGGAAGATAGGAGAGTACTTTGTCTTAAGCCCCTTTCTGACTGGGTTATCCCCTCATTTCTCCCTCCCTACCCTGTGACTGTTGTTTTCTCCCCCAGTTCTACTCACCCCAAGACTGTTGGGGCCAGGGAGCAGGCCCCAGGTTATTATTCCCCGCCCTAAATACTCGTCTTGCAGCAACTCTGTGGCCTTAGCGCCTACCCCAGAGAAGCCGTCATGCAGGTCACACAGGATCTGGAAGCCCTAGAGAGGTGAATGATGACAGCTAGTGGGATGAGAAGAGGGTCTACCCCGGTGTCCACTGGGCCGCGCAGCTACCTGCAGGTAGTCACATTCCTCCACGTAGAAGTGCAGCCTGTCCTCCAGCTCCTCCAGGTACCTGGGCTCCTTCAGGACGCTCTCCCCTTGGCCAAACGCCTCCAGGCGACCTGCTTCCCTGCCATGCGTAGACACAGTCCAGGACTTACCAGGACTCCCCCTAGCTCCCTGCCAGGAGCTCTTTTTCTTGGGGAGGGCCAAGAAAATGGCCTCAAGAGCTTCAGCCAACAACAGAGGGGACCCATTCTCTTGCCTCTCAGCCTCTCAGGCCCCCCCATACCCGTCATGGTTATACTTCTGAATCACACAGATGCTCCGGGGATGGAGATGGACTCTGAGGAAGTCTGACCAGACTCTGATGCTGCCGTCTGTGGGGATCTGTGGTTTTGGGGTTGTGGCGGTGGTGAGTGGTGGAGGACCTAAAGAAAAAGCAGAGGAAACGTACCTTTCTCTATGCCCCCGCTCTGCCGGGTTCCCTGCCCTGCAGTGTCTGGGGAAGTCTCACCTTTGCCAGTGGGAATGGATTTGACTCTCCAGAGACCATCACTACTTAGCACTCCCTGGTTGGAATGAGAAAAATATTTTTAGTTCCATGCAGTCCTAGAGGCAAAAGTTGATCAGTCCTCCCTGATTCTGACCAGACCCTACAGCTGCCTTTCTGTTCACAAAGTCACAGTCCTTTAGGAAAAATGCCTTTCCCCAAAATACCATTCTAAAGTAATTTAAGATGATTAAAATCCTCTTTATTCTCTGCCCCAGTGAAGGCACTCTGGTTGTAACACTGGTTCAAAAAGTTCAGCTTAGCGGCCCTCACCTCTGCGCTCAGACAGTCCTGGAGATAAGGGTTCTTGGGATAGAGCTCCTCTTTGTGTGTGGTGAGCTTCCCCTGCCTGAAAAAAATTGGGAGATTGATCATAGCCACAGTTTCCCTGAGCTTAGCCTCCTGTGCACACTCCCCACTCCTCTCCAAACCACAAATACCATGCTATCGCGGCATCTAGTTGTCTGTCTCTGTAGGGTCCACCTTCTTGTTTTAGGGAGCTCAGACTACCTGTATGAAAATAACAAGCAATGTCAGGTCAAAGCCTAGTAACTCCCTGCCTTCAGCTAATCTTCCTCTGATCACCTGACGACCTGCTGCCATCATCCAGCGCTTGGCTCTTTCGAGCTTTCTTGAGTATTCATGAGTTGGAGGATAGCCTTGCCTAAGAGAATCATCCTTCCATTCCCAGCTTAGTCATTGGCTGTGGGACCTGGGCAAAGAACACACTCAGCGGTCCTACAGGAGTGTAACATTTGTCCCCAGGTAGCCCGTTCCCTAGTTGGCTCCCCAACATAATGAAGTTTTGCCGCCTTGCGTCCCTAGGATGTTGGCATACGCTGGTTAGTTCTCCCTGTGACTCCTCATCTCCGGTCCTTCTGCCTCGTATGGTCCAAGGACCAGGAAGCGAACGGATGCTAGTGCCTCCACGGGAAGGGGCTAACGGCATTGGTTGACGCCGGCCACTGCCTCACCCTTCAGATCCATGAGGATGAGTCTCGGCGTGTAGGTTTCCTGGCCGTGCAACGTCCGGCCGGTCCGGTACAGGACGTCCGGGCACAGCTCTCCTGGCGACTCCTTGGCGTCGGTCGGACCGCACACCGCAGCATCCTGGGGGGCACAGAGAAAGGACTGGGCTCGGAGGGCGAGAGGGACAGGTCGGAACTAAGGGTGGAGATCCCGATGGCTCCCCCGGGACAGCCGCTCGGGGCGCTCACCTGCTGGTTCCACCAGTGCGCTCCTACGAAACCCGCAAAATGGCCCAACTGCAGCGTGAGCACCTCCCGAGCCCCGCCCGCCATGCCGCACGGCTTCCCCAGGCCGCACAGCCTTTGCCAGCCAACTCGCTGCTGCTACCCGATTGGCTCCGCGGTTTGTGGGAGTGGCCTCAGTATCTGCGTCCTTATTGGTCCTTTCCCGTAAGATAAACGATCTGTCGGACTTCCGAAACGCGGCCATCATTCCCCGCCTCTTCCTAGCACGGACCTGTCCTGTTTCGGTCGGTATCAGCGAGAGGCGGGGGCGGGGCCGCGCGCGGGACCCCGCGGCGCGGCTCGCGCCGGAAGTTGTGGGCGCCCGGTGCAGCTTCCTGGGTGCTGTTTTTGCGACTTCCGCGGGCGTCCCAGGAGCGGCTTCCTGAAGGTTCTCCTACCCCGGTTTTTACTGCCCTTGCAGGTTTTGTCACTTCTCACAGGATACTACTGCTGGTAATAGCGCATCAGGCAGAAATAAAACCTTGCCAGAAAAGTAGATACTCCCTTAAAGCGCCCCACGCACCTCCTTCCCCGCCAAGAGTCACAGCCTTCCTGCCTTCTAACCCTGGGGCCTGGCTCTGACATCTGTTCTATCCCGTTTTGTAAATAAGGCGGAGTAAGTATTCTTTTGCTCCGTATCATTTGTGAAATTCTCTATTCTTGCATGTAATTAATAGTTCATTTTCATTGGTTCAGAATAGATAATTGTATGAATATACCGCAAACGACCTATTTCTCTGATTATAGACTTTAAAATTGTTTCCACTTTTTGGCTATTGGCTGCTACAATAATCGTTATTGTGCGTGTGCAAGTGCACACGTATACCTGGGAGTCGAATTGTTGGGTCGTGAGCGTGGGTATGTTGGAACTTGGTAAATCATACCAAGCTGTTTTCTAAATTTCTTTACCAGTTTACAATTCCACACCAATTTTACACAGTCCC